TCCCCAGTGAATAGGGGTACTTACAGGAGCCTGGTAAGGAGCCATTTATGGGAGCATGGGTACTCCCCCCTTCAGGGTGGAATGTTGTCAGGGGCCTAACCATGTCACCCGTGGAAGGCAGTGTCCCATGACACTTCTCAGGCTCTTAGATTCCTTCCACCCTCTCTTCAGCAATGTTCTCTGGGCTTAGAGGGGCTGACATAGAGGTCCCATTCCAGCTGAATATTATATGTCTTTGGTAAGCTATAGCTTAGTACAAAAGAAAAACTTCTCTGACCCTCAGTTTTTTGTTTGATTTTTTGAGACAGGGTTTCTCTGTGTACTCCTGGCTGTCCCAGAACTCGCTCTATAGAACAGATTGGCCTCGAACTCACAGAGATCCACCTGCCTCTGCCTCCCAGGTTCTAGGATTAAAGGCATGCGCTACCACCTCCTGGCATGACCCCCAATTTATAGACATAAGCATGGTGATCTAGAAGGCAATTTGGCGGGTACAGCAAGTTTACTTAGCAAAACAACAGTACCTTACTTCTAGAGCCTATGACCTCCCCTGATGTTGATCAGGTTTTCCAGCCTGTGGAGTGGGCACCAAATTCAATCAGAAAGAGGTCAGTTATGAGCACAACACTCATGTCACTATTGCATCTGTGGGCACATCTTGTCTGACGGGTCTCTAGCACAGCACGCTGGTCCCACAGCTGAGTAAGCAGGTACCCATTTCTTCTGGGGCTATGGTAAAATGAGTTAGACATGTTCTTTTAGCCCGTGTATTTCCCATATTTTTGTCTCTACTGAATTTTAGACTAGCCTTTTTTTAGAGCATTCATTTCTGTTAAATAGATCCATTGAATTTTAATTTTGGTAATTGTACTTTTTGCTTCTAGAATTGCTTTTTTGGCATTCCCTTTGCTTTTTACGGTTTCTAGTTCTCTGACAAGACTTTTTATGTTTTAAGGTTTATTTTTTTAGGTTCTATTTACGTATGTGTATGTGCATCAGTGTGCATTGCAGGAGTGCAGGCACTTACAGAGGCCGGAAGAAGGTGTCAGGTTCCTGCAGCTGGAGTTGCAGGCAGTTGTGAGCTGTCTAATGTAGGTGCTGGGAACTGAGCCTGGGTTCTTTGCGAAAGCAGTACGTGCTTTTTAAACTGCTGAGCCATCTCTTTAGCCCCTAGACAAGACTTTTGGATTTGTGGTTTGTTGTTATTTGTTTTGAGACTCATTGCTGGCCTAAAATTTGCCAATTTGCCAAGGTGACCTTGGACTCCTGATCCCCCGGCCTTTGACTTCAGAGCCATGTCCCATCTTACCCAGTTAACGGTGCTGGGGCTCAGACACAAGTCTTGGTAATTGTTAGGCTTCTCATTACCACAGTCTTTGGTGATTGTGGTTTCCATTGCACTAACACTCAAAAAAAAAAATTTTTTTTTTAAGGCAAAGCCTCCCCACGCATGTAACCCACACCATGGGGTCAAACTGGCAATCCTCCTGCCTCTGCTTCCTCAGTGCCCAGGTTACAGATGGTCACCATGGTGACACCCTCTGGACTCTACACACCTTCGAACTTGTGATTTTATTTCTCTTGGGTTAACAGTAGTGGGATTTCAGAATCCCAGGGGAGGTCAATACTAGCTTTGTAAAAACCTCCCAAGCCATTTCCCCCAAGTGTTAGCTCTCCTTCAGTTTCTCCTTCAGTTTCTCTGCCGCCACCCAGTGGGTCCTGTGTGGGGGGTCTCTCTGCCTCCTCACTTGAATTTCCCTAGTGACTGATGGTGCTTAATGCACCTCCTGCTGACTGGCCATTAGTGCCTTTCCTTTGTGAAGTGTCTACTTAAAACTGTTGGCCACTCAGGTAAAGGCGGGTCTAATAGCAACGCTCCTGGAATTGCAGTGCTTGTGAAGGAGAGGTGAGCAGATCACACCACATTGGAGGTAATCTTGGGCTATCTATGTAGCTTGAGAAACTGATCCAAAAACCAAAACAAACAGACAGAGCAGTTCACTCCTGAAATGCCAGCGTTCCAGAGATAGAAGCAGAAGGGTCAGGAAGTTCAAAATCATCCTTGGCTACGAAAGGAAATCAGGTTTATTTGATTTTTTTTTTTTTTTTTTTCCTTTCGGTGCTAAAGACAGAATCCTAGGCCTTGGGTGTGGTTATTGAGAACTTTACCACTGAGCTACACCACTGGCCTGTTGGTCTGTTTTTCAAAGGCTTTGCAGGATGCTATAGGGAAGGTGGATTGTGGCAGCCACGGACAGACTTCCTGGGCTCTGGGAGAGCTGGCTTTACACCCTGCAGCTCTGGCCTGCTGTCTAGAGAGGTTGGGTCATTTACAAACCTCAGCCCAGCTTCCTGCAGCCTGGCAGCATTGCAGAGCAGAGCCCATCTGTAGATTGAGGGCACTGTCTCCCCTTCATGCAAAGTAAGAACCCGACCCGCCATTGGCCTAGAGACAATGCAGGCCTGCTTTCTGTCACTTCTGAGCTGGTCATGGGTGTCCATGCCCTTAACCCTGGCACACGGCATGTTAAAGCCTGAGGACTGTGGGCTCAAAGCTAGCTGAGATACAGAGAGTCCTGGACTGTCCTGAGCTACAAGGTGTGAAAGAAGGAGGGAGGAAGGAAGGGAGGGAGGGAGGAATGGAGGGAGGGAGGAAGGGAGGGAAAGGAAAACAGAAAGTCAGGCTACAGAATCGAATTGAATCGGTGGTTAAGTCTTGTTCTCTGTTCACACATGGCAGCTCACAACTGCCTGTAACGCCAGTTCTAGGGGAATCTCATGCACTCTTCTGAGGGTACCAGACACACATGTGACATACATGCATACATTTAGGCACTCACACTTATACATAAAAATAAAATAAATCTGAAAGAAAAGAAGATGATGGATAATGGATACGGATGGATGGGTGGATGGAGGGATGATGAAGTCTGCTGATGAGTAAGTTATCTATCCTTGGATCTGGGAAGGAGGCTCAATTGGCAAAGTACTGGAGGACCTGAGTATGGTCCCTAAGACCCACATTATACTGAGCATATGCTGTTTGTAACCCCACAACCAGGAAAGCAGAGACAGGAAGATACCTGAGGGTCCAGCCTGGCCTACTTGGTGTTTTTCAGACCAGTATAAGAAGAAAAGGTAGACAATCCTGAGGAATGACACCTGAGTTTGTCCTCTGAACACACGCACTGAAGCCTGCTCACACGCGCATGCGTACACACACACACACACATATACACACACATACACACATGCATACACACATATACACGCATACACACACACACACACATACACATACGCACGCACGCACACACACACAAACACACTCAGCCTGTCCTTACCTCATATCCCACAAATGTCCACCAACATCTCTCCCTTGGGACCCCTAAAACGTCTCATATCTTAGCATCTAAAGGGGACACCAGAGCTCCAGCCAAAGTCCATGCCCATGCTTGCTCTGACTTGGATGGTACCCTGGTGTCGTGACTCTTCCATCACAGGTGTTCTGGGGGCAGGCGTGGCTGGGGTGGGTGGAGGGGTCAGAAGGCTCCTGCTGGGAAGCTGGGGAATGAGAGGAAGATTTAGGAAGGCCACAGTTCACCCCTGGACATGCTAACACCACCCAGGAGAGCAATTAACATGCTGTGAGTACCCACAATGTGTTGGGCACAGTTCGGGTGATCGATCGTCACAAAGGCCACAGGGGAAGGCGGCCCTGTATCCTTCTCTGACACAAGTCCCCACATTCTGTTCATAGCCAGAGGGAGGCTTGACCCCAGTAGGTCCATGTCCTCCCTTCCTGTAGTTGTACTCAGGTCCCTAATCTCCTTCTCTCTTAGCTCACGCTCGGCTCGCTCGTGTTAGGAGACCTCTGGGCACAGTGGACCACTCTAGACCTTAGGAAGAAACTTTTGGATTCTTTAGGGACCGGACTCAGCCTGACCTGGACAGTAGCGGCCATGATTATCAGAGACCCTCCACCCAACTCTGGAGCCGCGCCCCCCCCCCCACAGCGGCATCAGCATCTGTCCCATGACCACCATCCAGCTTCCCCTTTCTCCTGCCCCCAGGGTGCCACATGAGTGTGGGGGAGGGGGCTTCCTGCTACTGGCTCAAGCCCAAGGGCTCCAACCTCAGGTTCCTCCTCCACCAGTTCCATTTTAGGCTCCTGCGAGGGACTAAAATAATCCCGGCCTCTCCCCAGCCTCCCAGCTCTCCTCCTTCCTGGTCCCCGGATGCTTTCCCACTCAGCAGCCCAGCCCAGCTGGGCCCTGTGGCCACCACCTGCCTCACCTCAAGCCCCACTTCTGTTTCTGTGGTATGCGCATGTGTGACACAAATTCTCACCCTCTTTGCTTTGCCGTTGTAGCAGTGAAATGGCCATCTTCAGGCCCTGGGTCCCATCCCGTGTCTGTCTGTCTTTGCTGCGTGACTGTGGGCAACTGTCTTTACCTCTTTGTAAAGTGGGAGACAGGCATGTACCTTGGGTGAATACTGTGCAGGCAAAGTGACATTTGGGAGTGCTGTCATGAGTGTTCCTGCCCATGACCCTCTCTTAAAAGCCTGTGACTATGGCAAGGATCTGATTATCAAACAGCGTTTGTAGCTGATGCTTACATGGCTAACTACCAGACCCTGTGCAGGAACGTCCCTTAGCAAATGACCCTGCCAGAAAGTATGTTTACTCTTAAGATTGGGGGGGTGGGATTGAGACCCAGAGAAGCTAAGTGACAACTTGTACAAGGTTGCCCAGCTAGAAGAGGGTGACTTGCTTTCGATTATTGTCACCCACTGTCCCTTCTGTTATAATATTTTCCCTCTGTCTCTTGTCCAGCCCATAGGAACTATGGCACAGCCCCTTGGCTGCCTTCTTTCTGGTCTCATGTCTGTGTGTTCCTCTTCTCTGCTGCTGTCCCCTCCTCCTGCTGCCACCACCTACCTCAGACTTCCTCCTTCACTTGGTTGGACGTCACACCCCATCTCACCAGCCACTGGACTGTGGTGTCCAGTGCACGTCTGGCCACCATGGGGGCCCTGGGGCCCTCCTGTCACCTTCTGCTCCTTCTAGCAGTGGGAGGTGAGTTGGGGGCTTCTGCAGCTGTCACCTGCATCTTCCGCTCAGGTTGGGGCCAGGGCTGGGCAGAGAGCAGGGACAGGACAGGACAACCAAAGGGGAGGGCTGGACGGAAGAAGCTTCCTCCAGGGTCTGTGGGTCCCTCTGTGGGCTGGTGGACATCCAAACCAGACAAGCTGACAGAGGTATCACTCTCTGGCCTCTGTACCAGCCCCTGGGTGCTATGAGACCTGCCCTCTATCGACTTCTCCAGCTTCTACATCCATTGTCTAAGCAGGACTCGGTTTATAGCCTCCTTTGGAATACAGAATCCCATGTAGCCCAGGCTAGCTTCAAACTTGCAATGTAGTTGAGGGTAACCTCAGCCTCCTGATTCTCCTGCCTTCACCTCTCTCAGTCTATCTGAATTTTCCTCCTTAGGATTCAGTCCTGTCCAGGCCCAGAGCGGTAAGCCATGACGCCCCCCCCCCCAATCTTTCTCTATTCCTCTCAAAGACCTCAGGTCACCCTTTTCCCTTCTAATCCACTCTCTGCTAACACCCAGTCCCTGATTGTCAACCTATGTCACCCTCCTATGCCATCCTCCTTTCCCAGAATGCAACTGCTCTCCCGTGAGCCCAGGCATTCTGGCTGGGATTGTGCTGGGTGACTTGGTGCTGACGTTGCTCATTGCCCTGGCTGTGTACTCTCTGGGCCGCCTGATCCCTCGAGGCCGAGGAGCTGCGGAAGGTGAGTGGGCCTATAGAGCTGGCTTGTTAGAAGCAGGGATTGGGGGAAGCTTCGAGGTCACAGGTATCTAAAGGGCTGGGATGGGGATGGAAGGGCTGGTTTGTTATTGTTTTTATTTCTTCCCTTAATGCTGAGTTCCCAGACAAGGCCATGCGTTCGTATGGCAATCACTCCCTACCAACTGAGTTATGCCTTTAGGCCAGAGGGCTGATGGTTTTTTCTCTTATTATTTTTATATATATTTTAATTGTGTATCATGTATATACAGAGTGCAGTGTCTTCCGAGGTGCTGGGAACTGAACTTGGGTCTTCTGCAAGAGCAGTTCCTGTTCTCTCAAGTTGCTCAGAAGGGCTGGTTTTAAAACACCAAAACAGGGTCACCGGTGGCACACGCCTTTAATCCCAGCACTCGGGAGACAGATGCAGGTGAATCTCTGTGAGTTCAAGGTTAGCGTAAACTACAGAGTGAATTCCAAGACATCCAGGACTACACAGAGAAACCCTGTGTCAAACAAACCAACCTAAAAAAAACAAAATAAAATAAAAAAGCCAACAAAAACAAAATAGTCCCAATTCACAGCTTTTTCCATCTTTACATCCTATGTGGCTCTCTCCCTCTACAGGGATCCGGAAGCAGCGCATTGCTGAGATGGAGTCACCCTATCAGGTAAGAATACCAAATCTTTCTCACCCTTCACTCCTGCCTGCTCCTATCCCCACCTCTCTCTCTCTCTCTCTCTCTCTCTCTCTCTCTCTCTCTCTCTCACCGCGCATATCAATGATCAACCAAGATCTTCATGCTCAGCCTCAGATGCGGGGGCGGGAGGGGGTCACATAGAAGGACTCTGTCTTGGTTAGGCTTGCACTGATCTGGGGAAAGCCTGGCCCTCAGTCAGACCGGGAGAAGCCTGTGGTGAGGCAGAGTGGAATGCAGCCTAAGTGTGGAGTCTCTGCTGGTGTTACCGTGCTGCGCAGCAGGATATGGGCCTTGTTGAGTAGAACTAAAGCTAGACTGCTCAGAAAATGCCACACAAAGAGTACAAAGTGATCCCGGAACTTGGGAGGCAAGACGATGGGAAGTTTGAAGCCACCCTGGGCTACTTAGTGAGTCTTGAGGTTAGCATGGGCTACAGAAAGAGACCCTGTCTCAAAACAAAAACAAAACACAAAACAAAAAAGGATGAGGGTAGGAGTATCATACTGGTGTAGTACAGCACTCGCCTGGCACTTGCAAAGCCAAGCCCTTTATAGAATATCCAGCACAAAAAAAAAAAAAAAAAAAAAAAAAAAAAAAACGGTAATAATTAGCATACTGTCCCCAGATTTCAGAAGCTAGGTAGGAAGATTGTGAGTTCAAGGTCAGTCTAGTTTGTATCTGATATCTCAGACATCTAAAGCAGAGCCAGGCATGATGATGCACACCTTTAATGCTGGTTTTGGGGATCCCTGTGAGTTTGAGGCCAGCCTGGTTCCAGACTCGTCTAGCATGCACAGGGCCCTGGATTCAACCTAATAGATAAATAGATAACAGAAGTAATTCCAGTGAAAACAAGTCAAAGTTATATATCTAAGCTAGAGACGGAGCAAGCTATCGTTGAACTCACTCCTACGAACCACAACGTAGTCAGACTTGTCTGCTCCCTCTCAAGACTCCGATTGTGAATGAGTGGTGTGTGTGTATGTGTGTGTGGTGTGTGTGATATGTGTATGTGTAGTGTGTGGTGTATTGTGTATGTTTGTGTGGTATGTGTGTGTGGTGTGTGTAGTATGTGTGGTGTGTGTGTGGGTGTGTGTGATATGCATGTGGGGTGTGTGTGTGTGGTATGTATGTGTGTAATGTCAAGCGTTATCTTATTTTTAAAATTGCATTTATTTATGGGTGTAGGTGAGGTAGGGGTTGGGTGTGTATATGCTTTGGCAGCCATGTGGAGGCCAGAAGATAGCCTGTGGGAGTTGTTCTCTCCTCTGGCGCATGCTTTCAGAGAGTCACAGGCGTCGCTCTCTCCCTCATTGTCTGAGGCCAGTTTTGTGCATTCGCCTCCTTGCTGGAGAAAGTTTTCTTTGCAAAGTGTAAGTTTGGTGCCAGGCAGTGGTGGTGCATACCTTTAATCCCAGCGCTCAGGGAGGCAAAGGCAGATGGATCTCTGTGATTTCAAAGCCAGCCTGGTCTACAGAGTGAGTTCCAGGGCAGCCAGGGCTACACAGAGAAACCATGTGTTGGAAAAACAAACAAGCTTCAAGTTTGAACACCTGAGGCTCAGAAGACTGAAGAAGCTGTTCAGTCCCCAAAAGCCAGGGTATTTTCGGGCCAAGTAACAGTCTGCTCTGTGTATCCTTCAGTGGTATGGTTGAGACCTACGTGGGTGAGCACAGCATCCTAAATGGAGCGACTGATTTGAATCAAATTAACAAAATCAGTTTGGGGTGACATTATGAAGAAAAGAAAGCAAGCCAATATGATAATAGCAGGGTTGGGGAACTGAGAAATGTCCAAGATGTAAAGGGTGACAAGGAAGTTGAAGATCTAGGGTGCTGGCCTTCCAGGCAGGGGGGATGGCATGTGCAAAGGCCCTGGGGTTGGGATATACTGTCTGGGCAGAGAGGCAAGGAGAATTCTGGCTGTGTTTGAATAAAATCCAGATCTCGTTCATATTTTAAGTTTGAAGAAGCTAGCAGGGACCTTGAAGGTCACTAGGAGGCTAGATTTGTTTGGCTTGCTGGGCATACTCCAATGATGCCCTCTGTCTTTTTAGGAGCTTCAGGGTCAGAGGCCAGATGTCTACAGTGACCTCAACACACACAGGCAGTATCACAGATGAGCCCACGCTATGCCGCTCTGCAGCCTGATGCCTGGATCCAGTCATTCCTGGTGCCTACTCAACATGCCCTCCCTGGGACACCGACCCACACAGGACCCCAGAGATGTCTGACCTCTCCCCATCCTGTCCCCAAATAAATGACAGAGCAGAAAACCATGTCTGAGCTATGTTAGACTCTGTGAGGCCTTGGGTACCAGTGGAGCCGCAAGAATGGTCTTAAATCAGAAAGCAGCTACCTGGGAAGAAGTCAGACTTTGGGAAGAACAAGACTAGAGGTACTTGAATGGCTTTATTCTAGTCTGGAAGGAGTGTGTTCCCAGGCACCCCTGAGTGATCCAGGATGGGAGGGTCCGAAGTTGCAGAGGTCAGCCTCTCCCAGGCATGTTGATGTAGATTCTACCGTCTTCTGGGGGGAGAGGGGTAGAGAAAGCATGAAGCATGACCACCCCCTCTTCCCACAGCACCTTCCTGGGAGACCCCCTGCCTCAGGGGCTTCCTCAGGGGTTCCCCAAATACCTCCCCCAGGGTTTCCCAAGCACCTCCTCCAGGGCTTCCCCGGGGACCACCCTCGCGGGACCCCCTTCTTCCCTAGGGACTGCTACCCGGCTCTCCAGATGCGGCCCCAGTGTTTGCTCACCTTGGGCTGGCCTGCTGTGTGGGCGCATACATACAAATACCACCCCCACGATTAGGAGTGACAAGACCGCATCTGCAACCACCAGGCCTGCCAGGAGCGGCAGGGACAGAGGCCCACATCCGGAGCAGGAACCTGGGGGGGGGGGGTTAAAGCCCAGACAGACAGGCAGCTGAGACCTTTCCCTTTGCTTACAGGGAGCCCCCACCCCCACCCCGGATCCCGGAGATAGGATGGATCCCAGATTCTTTGGGAGAGAAAGGAGAGGGGGAGGGAGCTAAGAGAGGTTGGGGAGTCACGAAACCCGAGAGCTGTACCCTGGGCACACCAGGAATCAGTTAAGGAGTCTCTCTGTTCCCATCGCTTCAGCTGGACCGGACAGGGGCTGGGATTAGGAAATACCCCGAGCCAGGGTATTGTGGGTGTTGTGGGCCAGACTTGAGATTTGGAGGCAGCTGCTGAAGTTCATTCCTCACCTGCTGGCGTCTGACTTGCAGCCACTGTGGAAAGACAAAAGGTGGATAGATTTATTGGTAGGGGAGAGATGTGTCCAACACAGGCGCAGGGTGGGGGCCGGGGGTGCTTGTGACCTAAGCTCCACACTGGAGGGGTAAGTGTTGAATGGGTTTCCTGAAACATAGTGACCCAGCAATGAGGAGAGCTCGCAGCTCCAGGATCCCAACCCCACGCCCAAGGACCCAGACCTTGAGACCCAGTGGCTCTTGGGAAAGAAAAGGGCACAGGGCTTGCTCTCCACACCCCTCACATCAGTCACATGTCCCCTCAACCCCTCACTGCGGGCTTCACCTGGGAGCAGGAGCAGGAGCAGGAGGTGGCCTGGAGGGGTCATGGTGGGCTGGGGCCTGAAGGGATCTGGCCAAAGGCAGTCGTCCCCTGAAGTACTCAGAACAGTCGAGGAGAGAGGCAGCTAGAACGGATGTCACCCTGCTGGTGACTGTGCTACCTACTTCCTGTGTGTGGGTACATGTGTGTCCTTAAGACTTCCTTTGGGGAACGAATCTGGGGGAGTCAGAGCGCCCGGAGAAGCTTCTGTCATAATCTGGGTGGGAGTGTGGATGGGCCGTGCGTGCTGTGGGCACTAGGGAGAGTCTGGAAATATTCTGGAAGTTAAGCCAACAACAACAGTGTCTGGAGAGGGTGCTGTTAGAAAGAGCACCAGAGGTGACTGCAGCTTCTGGCCTGAGTGAGATTACAAAGGTGGGTTGGGCAAGAGTCTGCAAGAGCTGGTTAGGAGGGAGACAGGGCCGGGCCCGTTTGGGCACACTGAGTTGGAAATCCTGACAGAACTCTCTGGAGATTGTGAACATCCACAGTTGGGTTCCAAAGACGACGGACGTCTCGTCTGGTCCTGACATGTAAATGCTGATGGTTCAAAGGTGGCATTTAAAGCCAGCAGACTGGAGAGCTCACTAAAGACACACACACACACACACACACACACACACACACACACACACACACACACACAGAGAGAGAGAGAGAGAGAGAGAGAGAAAGAGAGAGAGAGAGAGGGAATCAGCAAGCAGCTAGGGAAGTTCAGGGTGGAAGCAAGGGAGGAAGAGACCCAACACTGGGCAGGATGTTGAAAAGCAGAGACATTTGGCCTTTACAGTTAAGTGCCAAGGAAGGTCACCAAGTAGGAACTGAGATGCCAGTCGCCTAGTGGGCTGGGAATTTCTACTTGGTTCACAGCTCTCTATCCAAGCAGCCGGCAAAGTGTCTCCTCTGTGCTAAGCTAACAGTTTTTAAAGTGATGAGTAAGTGATCCTGGCATGATGACCCAAGTCGGTACTTCCAGCACCAGAGACCAAGGAAGCTGATTTAGCAAGTGCCAAGCTATATAGGAAGACCCTGAGTCAAAAACAAAACAAAGGGCAGGGAGATGGTTCAGCAGGTGAAGGTGCTTGCTGGGTGTTAGAGCCCCGGGATCCATACAAAACGCAGCATTTCTTTAGCCGACTTCGGAGCACTGCTCTGACCTACAGGGGAGCTCACACACATCCTTTTTTTTTTTTTTTTTTTTTAAAGCAGATATTAGAGCTGGACATAGTGGCTCACACCTTTACATTCTAGCACTTGGGAGACAGAAGCAGGCAGATTTCTGTGAGTTCAAGGCCAGCCTGATCTGCATAGTGAGTTCTAGGACAACTAGAGCTACATAATGAGGTTCTGTCCCAAAACAAAAAAGCAAATATTGGTAGCTGGGTGTGGTAGCCCACATCTGGGACTTGAGAGCAAGAGGTCAGTCGAAGTTCAAGATTATCCTCAGTTGCCTAGGCCAGCCTGGGCTACAGGAAGCCATGTCTGTCTCTCTATGCCTCCCTCCCTCCCTCTCTCTCTCTCTCTCTCTCTCTCTCTCTCTCTCTCTCTCTCACACACACACACACACACACACACACACACACACACACACAAATCAAAACTGAAACCAAAAGGGGGTTATAAATGAAAGTCGACTCTGAAGAAGGGAAAGGCCACGTGCAAGGAGGGAGATTTTTAAGCCAACTATACGACCCTTGCCTAAGGACTTCTGGAGCCCTGGGGTCCAGACTCTCCCCCAGGACCCAACAGCACTGCGCGGCCATGCACAGCCAAGTCAAGGCCTCCAGCATCCCCTTTGCCAGAGACTCGATTCCAAGCACCCAATGTTCCCCTCTCCCTGGAGGTAGGATTCCCTAGCATCCTCCTCCCCTGGGGATGAGGTGATCAGACCCTTCAAGGTCAGCCCCTCCCATTCAGAGACTAAGTTTGCTCTAGCGTTAAACCAGGGGACTCCCAGGGCTGTGGGCGGGGTCCTCCTTGAACTGGGCGTGGTCAAAACCCCAATTTAAAAACTCGCGGGGATCCTGGCTTTAGATCGGGGACCCGGCGGCGGCTCCGCGGGGTTAGCAGCGAGGCTGGCGCAGCGCCGAGGTCGCGGCCCTGGGGGCCCGCAGTCTGGACCCAAGAATCCGCGAGGTAAGATTGGGGTAAAGCGCTTTCTGAGCGCTTGAGGGCTGGCTGGAGAATTAAGCTGTGCCTTGAGAGTTGGGGGTCGGGGGTTGGTGTCCTCAACGTTGAAAAGCTGAGGATGGGAGTCTGGACTCCTGACTCTTGGGCGTGTTGGAGATTAAGAGAGGGATCTAGAATCATGGGGGTTGGGGTGATGGGAGTCTGGACTCCTGAGTCTTGGGCGTGTTGGGGATTAAGAGAGGGATCTGGAGTCATGGGGGTTGGGGTGCAAGGTATGGGAGGCCTGATCCTGGGGTCCTGTAGGAGGACGAAGGGACCCCGACTCCTTCCCCCAAGGAGGGGGGTTGCACGGCACCCTTGGGGTGGTTATGGTTGCAGATCTGGGTCCTGAAGGTCCGGCGCTGGACCTGCCCCGCCCGGGATTTCCCTGAGCACCACGGGTGCAGGGACCCCGGGCGGGACAGGAATTCCCCGAGCGCGGGGATTCCACGGGTGGAGCGCTTCGCTGCTCGCCCCGCCTCCGAGCGGGACACCTGCAGCGCGAGTCTGCAGCGGAACTGGGAGATGGAAGATTCCCTTGCGTGAGCGCGGTGACGTCAGCGCGTGGCGTTCCGTCTCGAAGGTTTCCGAGTCAATCCGCGGCGCACTTAACTCTTCTTGCGCCGGAGTCTAAGCCCGGAAGCCTGGGCTGGGGGAGTTTCCCTTCTTGGGTCGTGGGAACCGGACTTCCAGGTCCCAGAGGAGGCTGAGGATCGGAACTCCTGGGTTTTGGATGAGAGGATGCCGCATCTATGGGATGCATGGCATCTGCGGGATGGTGAGTCCCTACAGCTCCCAAGTCTGCAGAGGCGGGGGCGGGAGCGGGAGCTTTGCGATCCAGATCTCTGGATTCCTCAGGAGCTAGTGGCTACCGATTTCGTAGATCCTGGCAGAGAAGATGGGACAAGAGTGGTGGTCCTCAGAGTAGCTGCTCACCTTTTTCAGTGCTGAGGAGGCCGGGCCCACCCTCTGCATCCACCGAGCCACGCCCCCAGCCCCACTTGTCAGATTCTAGAACAGAAGTGATTTGTTACTGTTTTGAGACAGGGTCTCTGGAAGCCCAGGCTGTTCTCTAACTTAGTATGTAGATGAGACTGGCCTTGAGCGCCTGATCCTCCTGCCTCTCCAATCCTTGTTTAAAACAGACATTAGGGACCTGTATATGCTTTTTCACCAAGTAGAGATTAGCAGACTCCCAACCCTCCACTCCAGGTCTCAGGACCCCGTACTCTAGGTTGGGAATTTTTACGGATGTGGCGATGCTTCCGAGGAGTGGGATGTGGAGGAAACAGATGCTTCAGAGGAGTGCTGGCTCCCCACTTCCTCAGTTTCCACTACGCTGGTGGAAAGTTGGGGCAGAGGAAAAGCGTGGAGTAAAAGGAAGGAAATGGTGGAGGCGGGCCCTGCACTCAGTCTTCTATTGGCTTTGTAGTTCTCCGGCGGGATCAATGTGCCAGTTTTTCCGCGCGGGAGGGAAAGGAGGGTGCCCACATCCACTCCTCGCCGCCCACCGCTGCCGCCCAGGGTACATTTGGGTGACTTAAACATTCCTGATGACTTCCTTCTGTCTTCCCCCACACAGTGAGTCGGACTGAGCGCAGCCACTGCCCAACACAGACGGTGAAGAAGCTCCTGGAAGAACAGAGGCGTCGACAGCAGCAGCCGGAGGCTGGTGGGGTACCGGTGAGTCTGTGCAAATCCTGTATAGGACCAAGAATGAAGTCACGTGGACTCGAGGATATGGGAGTCCTGACTACAGACCCGAATCTTCCAGATATGTAAATTCACTTGTGTTTTTCATTTTCTTTACACTGTAGGGACACTTCTCCCCACCCCTGGCCCAACCACTGACCCTATCTGTGAACGAGGCAGAAGCAGGTAAGAATAGAAAGATAACTCCCAGCCCCAACTTCTCTTAGACACTTAGACACCCCAGCTCTTAGAACTCTGAGGAGTCCAGGCCTCATTATGGTTGAGACACAGGGGAAATTTTGATGGACAGCCCGCTATAGTTGCCCATGCCTGTATTCCCAGTCCTCCAGAAGTTGAGCAGGGAGGATTGCCATTGGGTTTGAGGTCGTGCTAGCAAGTTCTTGGCTATCTAGTGCTATCCAAGACACTTTGTCTCTCAGTACCTTGGGACACTTCAGGTTCACTGCCCCTGGCTGTGTCTCGGTCTCTGATGACAGTCTGGTCCCTGCCCATCCTCTCTCTCACTTTTAGGTCATACACACTTCCTCACCTTCCAAGAGACCGTGGATTCAGGACCTGGCAACCTGGCTCCCCCTTCAGGCTTTCCAGACTGGGACCCCAACGCCCATGCTACCTATGCAGACAGCTTGTGCCCCTACTCTGCTGCTGAAGGCTTTCTGATGCCTGATGGCTACCCTCCGTCAGACCCAGGGCGCTCGGGCCCATTTCCCCTGGGGATGGAGGTAAACTACCGAGGGGGACAGACACTTAAGGGCCCCTAAAAAAAACTTCCAGTTGTGCCTAGCCTAGTAGTGTAGGCCTATCATCCCGGCTACCTGGGAGGCAGAGGCAGAGGCAGGAGGATTGCAAGACTTGCCTAGGCTACAGAACGGGTTCAGGGTTGCCCTAGGCACATTAGTACGACCTCATCTTAATGTGAAAAGCCAAGAGTGTTGGGAGTACTGCTCTGTGGTCAAGCTCTCCCCTTGCACGCTTGAGGCTGCGGGTTCTCCGTGGGGTAGGGATGGGGAGTGGAGAGTCTCAGTTACATCCACGCAGCATTCTTCAATGCCAGGGACTGGTTTGAGATCCCATCCCCGGCCAGGTGTACTGGCTTCTGTAGTCTCAGTACCTGGGAGGCAGCCGCAAGAGGCTCACCATTTTGAGCCAGCTAGTTATGAGTTAGAAGCCAGTCTAGACTGTATAGCAAAGCAGCAAAGCAGAAATGAAAACGAGCTAGGCACGATAGTGCATGCTCACAATCCCGGCAGTCTGACTGCTGGGGCTTCTAGTTCAAGGCTAGCCTGGGCTTCACAGTGAGATCCTCTCTCAAAAGACAAACGCAAGGGGGAAGGAAGGAAGGAAGGAAGGAAGGAAGGAAGGAAGGAAGGAAGAAATCCCTTCTCCCTTGTGGCAAAACTGAAGCCCCCAGGTTCAAAGACAAAGGCAGCTGGTACATGTGGGCTCCTGGTCTCACGCATTTGGCCAGGGGCTGTGTGTTGTGTGTAATGAGAATTTTCAGCAGACTGACTCTTCCCACCCCCATACCCCTCAGGACTCTCTGGATACCCGGTTGTATACAGAAACTTCCCTGTCACAGGTGGGACCCTGGAGGGTCTCTAACCTCCCCTCAGGATCCCCACAGTTGCCTCCATCCACTGGACCCTCCCTGGAGACAGCCCGAGCTCATATATTGGCTTTGGGGCCACAACAGCTCCTGGCCCAGGATGAGGAAGGAGACACGTAAGTACGGGGGACTGGATGCTCTGCAGACTCCTAGCTTTCCTTGGGTGGGTGGGGCCGTTCTCATTGCTAGCCCCTCTCCCACCTGTCCTCAGGCTCTTGCACCTGTTTGCCGCTCGGGGTCTGCGCTGGGCAGCGTATGCTGCAGCAGAGGTGTTACAGATGTACCGACAGCTGGATATTCGTGAGCATAAAGGCAAGGTGAGGGCCATGAATTCAGGCTTTTGCACCTGGGGTAGAGAGCACCCGACTGTCGGAGGGGAGGACTCCGGGGGTCAAGGCTGATCTCCCTGTGACTTGCAGACTCCTCTCCTGGTGGCAGCTGCTGCCAACCAGCCACTGATTGTGGAAGACCTACTGAGCCTGGGCGCTGAGGCAAATGGTACTGACCATCAAGGCCGTTCTGTCCTGCATGTGGCAGCCACCTACGGGCTCCCAGGGGTCCTTTCGGTATGGCCAGCTCGCAGATCCAGGGTGTCTGGGGTGGGCTGGTTATCCAGAGCCTGGTTTCCAGGGCCAGGTTGAGGGGGGCCCTTCCACAGCCCTTTTCCTCTTTTCCCCCCAGGCTGTGTTTAAATCAGGCATTCAAGTGGACCTGGAAGCCAGAGATTTCGAAGGTGAGCTGGTCGTGGCCAGAGCTGGCAGGCCCACAGGCAGGCTGGCTGGTCAGGGTGGGTGCCCACGTGCAGGTCCCTCACTGTTCCATTCCACAGGTCTTACCCCCCTCCACACAGCCGTCCTGGCTCTCAATGCTGCTATGTCCCCACCCAGCGTCTGTCCGAGGATGCTGAGTGCCCAGGCCGGAGACAGACTGACATGTGTGCAGATGCTCCTGCAAATGGGTGCCAGTCACATCAGCCAGGTGAGCTTGGGTGGCGGGGGCCAGGCAGGCCCATGGGAAAGTGTGTACAGAGGGCCACCGCGGTGTCCAGGGGGACAACAAATGCTCACCTTGCCTCTTCTACCTGTGTAACCCTGAGTACGCTTCCCTGAGGCCGTCGTCCATGTGGCTATTACTGATCTTAGCTTGGGTTTATCCAGCACAGTGACTTGCGGCAGCCTTTTGCCCCTCCCCCAGTCCTCACCCCTTTAGGCATGTCCTCTTGTTTTCTCTATTGTACTGATGAGAAAGCTACCAGAAGTCCTATAGCTTTCGTGTTGGAGGGGGGCTTAGAACTAGGGGTGGGGCGTGGCTGACCCTAGAACTTGGCTCCTAATTATATATCTAACCTTCCTGTCCTGTGATAGTGGTTCCTACGTAGGCAGGCTGGAGGAATCCAGTATCATTTCGTTTTGAGCATCGATCGGATGGAGGTGGTACCATAGTTACTGTCCAGCCTGCTACCCCCTTGGCCCATATTTAATAAACTGTTCTTCCAAAAACAAATTGGGGCATGGGTTAATAACGGGCAGATACTCATAGTGTGCCCTGGGTGCCGGCATTCCAGCAATACTGAGCACCCCATCATCCCATCCTCTTACAGTCTCTTTGTAGCCCAGACTGACCTTAAACTCAGCATCTCCTACCTCAGCCTCTCAAGTACAGAGCTGGTAAACTGTGTCATCAGGGCCAGTCCCTCCCCTATTGTGTCTTTAAGCAAACACAAGCATGTAATTATTTCCAAAACTATTTGTCCTTCCTTCCTGTCTTTTTTTTTTCCCCCCTTTTGGTAGTGAGAATAGAACCTACTCCTCATGTTTATTGCAGTAATAGAGTCCCTGCCTAGAATCCCCCAGTGAGGGGCTGGGGGCGTGGCTCAGTGGTGGAGCCCCTGCCTAGAATCCCCCAGTGAGGGGCTGGGGTGTGGCTCAGTGGTGGAGCCCCTGCCTAGAATCCCCCAGTGAGGGCCTGGGGCGTGGCTCAGGGGTAGAGCCCCTGCCTAGAATCCCCCAGTGAGGGGCTGGGGGCGTGGCTCAGTGGTAGAGCCCCTGCCTAGAATCCCCCAGTGAGGGGCTGGGGGCGTGGCTCAGTGGTAGAGCCCCTGCCTAGAATCCCCCAGTAGAAGGCATAAAAGCTGGAGACCTTTAGTAAACTTTCCCCCTCTAAAATAGCAATTCTCAACCTATGGATCATGACCCTTTGCAGTCATATATCAGGTATTCTACATGTCAGACATTTACATTGTAATGTATGTGTAACAGTAGCAAAATTACAGTTATGAAGTAGCAATGAAACAGTTTTATGGTTGGGGTCACCACAGCATGAGGAAGGTAGTAAAGGGTGGCATTGGGGACGTTGAGAAGCACTGCTCTAAAATATGGAGCCCAGTGTTGTACTGTGTGTGGACTTGTCTGCTGTCCGATGCCACCCAGCTCCAGTACTTACAATACAGTACGGTCCATATGAGACAGAGACATTTTATTGCGCAGTAGGACGCCGGGTGGCCAGAGCAACTCTTAACCCTGAAAGTTGCTTCGAGGGACTGGAAAATCGTCGTATCGAATGTGCAGTCCTATGACACATATGTTACAAACGGCCTCCGGCAGCCATGTTCTTACATCCATGTAAGGCAGGCACTCCTGGTGGCTGCCAGCTTTCTTGGGGTGGGGGTTGTGGCTGGAAGACTGGCCTGACCTCTTTCTACTGTTCTCCTCCTAGGAGATCAAGAGCAACAAGACCATTCTGCACTTGGCCGTACAGGCTGCCAACCCTACCCTGGTTCAGTTGCTACTGGGGCTGCCGAGGGGGGACCTTCGGGCCTTTGTCAATATGAAGGTAGGACATGGGCTGAGATGTGTGGGTGGTTTGAGGGACAGTCGCAAGGGGCAGGTGGGCATGGGGCTCCTGTGAGCTGTGGATAGCCAGAGGACAAAGTGTTATGCAGTAGGGTAGGTAGAGCGTGGCTACGAAGGATGGCGTGCACCTGGAAGACCCAGGCACTTGTGTTTAGGTCCCCATCAGCCCCCCTTTGTGGTTACAGGCCCATGGGAACACAGCCCTCCACATGGCAGCTGCCTTGCCCCCTGGACCGCCCCAGGAGGCCATTGTGAGGCATCTGCTGGCAGCTGGAGCAGACCCAACACTGCGCAACCTGGAGAACGAGCAGCCCATTCACCTGCTGCGACCTGGGCCGGGCCCCGAGGGGGTAAGCAGTGCTCTGACCACCCGGGGCCCCCAACCGCACCCTACACTGATTTAGATTCCCAGATGACCTTGGTCCCTCCCCACTCTTCACCTCAAAGAGCGCCCTATGCCGAGTGCTCCCCTCCTCTAACGCCAACTCTTGGACAGTGAGACCTATCTCAAAAGGAAAAAAGTCCAAACAGTGACCTCTGACCTTAGTGTCCGACCCTTCCTTCCCTGTGATGACTCCTGACTTCCTTTGTACTCCCAACCCTGAGGCTGTGGCCTTGAGTCCCCTGGACTGTCCCCAGCCCTGGATCCTGACCTTAACATGTGACTTCTGACCCTTGCCTCTGCCCTCTGACTCCCAAACAATGCTGACCCCAAGATGGGAACCCCATCTAGCAACACTTTTCTGGCCTCTGGCTGTCTAGAGTGTGAACAAAGGTTTGTCCCAAACCTCACGTGCGTTTCAGTGTATAGCCCAGGGTGACCCCTGCCTCAGCCACCCCGAGTACGACCACGTGTGACCTCAACCCGTCTTCCAACCCAACTGACCCCCGTCGGTCTCCCCCTTGTCGGTAACCACCCCCCAAGGCACCCCTTAGCCTCCCATATGTAACCCCAGCCTGTGAAAGGCCCCTCCCCCTCCCCCTCCCCCTTGGGTCCCGCCAAATACCTCACTCTCCCTGCTTGTCCCTAGCTCCGGCAGCTGTTGAAGAGGAGCCGTGCGGCACCCCCAGGCTTGTCCTCTTAGGACTGAAATCCAGAACCTGGACTGATTTTTCCAGTCCCCAGCGTCCCATGGGACAGTCAGCGTATGCTCATGTCGCAGATTCATAATGTATGTGGAATATCCTGCCATTAGGGTCTTACATTAAAACCCCAAAGTGGCACTGGGGGAGGTAAGCAGTCCCCAATATTTGGGGTCGTGTGATAACCTCTTCCCCCTACAAGGGGCTAGCTAGATGATTTCTGTGAAATCGAGCCCACTTGACTGTTTCTGTGAAACACCCTAGACACCTCTAACTCTCCTATTGGATCAGCCATGATCACCTCCAGATCCTCCCCAGGAACTCCGATGGAGCCTCCGTGGGATTTGAGGCTCCCTAGGAAATCCCACCAGGGCTCTTCCCCAAGACTCACATCCCTGAGATGTCGGAAAGGCCCTCTGAGATTAGCGGGCCCTCTGAGATTAGCGAGTCCTGGCTGTATTGTCATTTAGGACCCAATGTCCCAGACCCTAGCATTCCCACTGAGTTGCTCTTTGTCTGTGTAGCGCTATAGCTCCCAATTAAACTCAATGTGGCCTCAAGCTGTGTGTTGTCATTCAAAGTGGGGGCACTGATGCAGAAAGCTGGCAGTGGATAATGTAAAGGCTGGGGAGTCTGGAATCAAGACACCGTCAGAGCTAAAGCCTGATAAACACATTAAATTCTGATTTTTAGACAGCCATCCCTTCCTGCTACTGACGTTTGCGGGCAACTGGCACCCAACCCCCCGTGTCAAATGTGAGAAGACAGGCTGGGTGTGGTGGTGGCACACACCTTTAATCCCAGCACTTGGGAGGTAGAAGCAAGCAGGTCTCTGAGTTTAAGGCCAGCCTGGTCTAGATAGTGAGTTCTAGGCCAGCCAGAGCTGCATACTGAGACCCTGCTTCAAACAAAACAAAAGATGTGAGAAGACTTCAAAGCTAGGGAGCTTTTCAGTCTGGGGATGTGGCTCAGTGGTAGAGCCCCTGCCTAGAATCCCCCAGTGAGGGGCTGGGGTGTGGCTCAGTGGTGGAGCCCCTGCCTAGAATGCCCCAGTGAGGGGCTAAGGGTGTGGCTCAGTGGTGGAGCCCCTGCCTAGAATCCCCCAGTGAGGGGCTGAGACGGGCTTAAGTGGTACAGCACCTGCATAGAACCCACCAGGCAGGGGCTGGGGCATGCCTCATTGGCATATTGCCCTCTACTGGCAGACATGGTGCCACACACCTTTAGTCACAGCATTCAGGAGGCAGAGGCAGGCAGATCTCTGAGTTCAAGGCCACTCTAGTTTACCTAGCAAGTTCTAGGACAGCCAAAAATACATAATGAGACTGTGTTCGAAAACAAACAAAAACACTATATCCCATCTCTAGCCCTGGCCAAAAAACAATAAAAAAAAAATTGGGGGGTGATGGCACATTCATGTAATTCCACCATTCAAATTTAAGTCAAGCCTGGGCTATAGAGGAAAAACTTATCTCTCTCTCTTTTTTGTTTTAAATTTTAAAATTAAAAGGGGAGAGAGAAAGGAAGGAAGGAAGACAATTCTGGGGTATCATGCCCACCCACTTCCTGCTCTAACCTAACAATCCTCAACTGATGACAAACAGGAGGCCCCACGCCTCCCTGTTGCCTTAAAGCTCTGAAGCGTTGTTAGCCGAGGCTCCCTGAATCCCTCAACAGAATCAAGCTCCCGAAGCACTTGGTAGCCCAGCCTTGCTTTCCTGGCCTCCCCTAGCTGTGCCTGGTCCAGCCTCTCCATAGGTGTTCTCTCCCTGTTAAGCGCCTTCAGATGTTCTCAGTATCTGCGCCCAGAGAAACTCAAATCAAGACAGGACCGCCACCAAGCCTACTTCTCAGATTCACCCATAGCAGCCACTGGTCCGTCTACCCCACTGAGTTACCCGAGTCCCCGCTCCAGAAAGCCCCTTTGCCCACCAGTCCTCTTGCCTATGGACTCTGTGGACCACAAACCAATTTATGTAGGATGGCTCGTTCCATCCCCTTGACTGGATCAGGAAACATTTAGGCAATGAAGCACAGGTCTGGGCGTGTCTGAGAGGGAGTCTCCAGAGATGAGGTGGTGAGAGCTCTGAGGGAATGAACTGACACGCCCTTTGAGAGGTTCCTAATATAATGACATTCCTGGGTGATGGTCAAAGGTCAGGAAGAGTCTAGTTGGACAAATTAGGTCTCTGGAGACATGTTCTGGCCTGGCCTTTTCCTGCTACCTCTTTCCCAGCTCCCCGTTAGTCGTGAAGAAGCTTTTCTGCCATCTGCTCCTAGTGCCTTGACAACTCTGACTCATGGTGGGTCTCTGCACCAAACCCTCTGAAACCATGAGCCGAATACGATGTTTCTCAAGGGTCACAGAAGGAAAGCGACTACTACACTACACTAGTGCATTTTAGGGCACGGGACTTCACAATTGCCTGTGGCTCTGTGGTCTGGATGGGGCTCAGCTGGAAGCATCTTGCTTTAGTTTCTCCTGTGGCCGAAGTCAGCTGGGAGCTTATGCTGGAACCCACCACTGAATCAGTCATGGTGTAACTCCACTGAGAATTGGCAGCTGTTGGATAAACCAAGAATCTTTTCATGTGGTCCAGGAGGGCAGGTGGGTCTCTCTCCTAGTTAGGGTCACTATTGCTGTGATGAAACACCATGCATGACCAAAAGCAAGTTGGGGAGGAACAGGTTTATTTGGCTTAGACTTCCACAGAAGTCAGGACAGGAATTCAAGCAGGGCGGGAACCTGGAGGCGGAGCTGATGCAGAAGCCACGGAGGATGCTGCTTACAGGCTTGTTTCTCATAGATTGCTCAGCCTGCTTTCTTATGGAATGCAGGACCATCAGTCCAGGAGTGGCCCCACCCACAATGGGCTGGGCCAGTCCCTGTCAATCACTAACTAAGGAAATGCTCTACAGGCTTGCCTACAGCTTGATCTCACAGGTGTTTTCTCCCTGGGGCCTCCCTCCCTCCTCTCAGATGACTCTAGCTTGTGTCAAGTTGACTTAAAACTAGCCAGCACTGTGACTAAGGGCTCCAGGAGACAGCACCTTGAGAGGAAAGAGCCCTGCTTGCATCAGGCTTGCTGATGTCCCACCAACCAAAGTCACATGATCAGATCAGGTGTGGTGGGACACACCTATCGTCCCAGCTCTGGGAAGGCTAAGGCAGGAGGATCAGGAGTTCAAGGTGATAGGGAAAAAATTGGAGGGCAGAGTCCCCAGGACCAAGTGTTGTCTCCCATGTCAGCTGCCTCATGCCAGCGTGTGTGTGTGTGTGTGTGTGTGTGTTCCTGGTGGTGGTGGTATGTGACTGGCCCATGGAGAACTCATGTGACTGGTCTGTGTTTCATATGAGAACGTACCTGCAATTGGCAATCCTTTGTACATTCAATTGTTTGATATAGTTTTTGTTTTTAAACACTTCTGTTTAAGAAAAAGGCTGTTTTAGGGGCACAAAGCATCAGAAGAACAATGGCAAAATGTTTTAATGATGGTATTTGCGGTAGTTTGAATGTAACTGGCCCCCATAATCTCTTAGGAGTGGCACTATTAGGCTTTGTAGGACTGGGTGTGGCCTTGTTGGAGGAAGTGTGTCACTGTGGGGGCAGGGTTTGATGTAGGCAGAATATTCTGTCCCTCCAGCCAGCTCCCAAATAATCACACAGACTTATTATTAGTTACAAATGTTCCGCCGATAGCTTAGGCTTGTTACTAACTCGCTCTTACAGCTTAAATTAACCCATACTTCTTTCCTATGTTCGACCACACAGCTCGGTTCCTTTCTTTAACAGGGCATGTTCATCTTCCTGGCAGCTCTGCCCTCCTCTTTCCCAGAATTCTCTCAGTTTGGATTTCCCACTTAACCTCTTCTTGCCCAGCTCTTTAGTAAACCACTGAGAGCAACGTATCTTCACGCATACAGAAGGGTTATTCCCCAGCTCTCTGAGGCTCCTTCTCGGTGTCTCAGTTGACTTCCTACAAGATACAGAGCTCTCAGCTGTCATCTGCCTGCACGCCGCCGCCATGCTCCCCATCATGATGATAATGGACTGGGCCTCTGAAACTGTAACTGAGCCACCCCAATTAAACGTTTTTCCTTCCGAAGAGTTGCCTTGAGCCGGGCGGTGGTGGCGCATGCCTTTAATCCTAGCACTGGGGAGGCAGAGGCAGGCGGATCTTTGTGAGTTTGAGACCAGCCTGGTCTTCAAGAGCTAGTTCCAGGACAGGCTCCAAAGCCACAGAGAAACCCTGTCTCCAAAAACAAAATCAAACAAACAAATGAGTTGCCTTGGTCGTGCAGTCTCTTCACAGCTATAGAAACCCTAACTAAGGCAGTATTGTTTTAGGATTTAGAGTTTTAAAATGTATGTGTGAGTATGGGACCCATGGAGGTCAGAAGAAGGGCATCAGATTCTCTGGAGCTGGGGTTACTTGTGGCTGGCTGTAAGTTGCCTGCCTAACATGGGTGTTGCAAACCAAACTTAAGTCTTCTAGAAGAACAAGTAGTGCTCTTAACAGATGAGCCGTCTCTCCAGCCCCTAATAACAGTATTTTAAAATTAATAGACAGAGGCTTGGCATGATGGCACATGTCTTTGACTCCAGCACTGAGGAGGCAGGGGCAGGCAGATCTCTGTGAGTTCGAGGCCAGTCTGGTCTACGTAGCAAGTCCCTGTCTTAAAAAAAAAAAAAAAAAAAAAAAAAAAAAAACAAATTTATAAGCAGGACTGATGAGATGGTTCAGCCAGTAAAGGGGCTGCCACGCCTGATGATTTTGAGTTCCATACCCAGGACCCACAGCCGGGAAGGAGCCTGTGGTGTACCCATACATATGCACGGAAAAACAGAATAAAACAAAAAACATTATAATTTAAAAATTATTTAAAGACAGGGTCTTACTATGTAACCTGGGCTGGCCTGGAATTCACTGAGATCACCCTAGCTCTGCCTCCTGAGTGCTGGGATCAAAAGTGTGCAGCACCACACCCGGCTTGGAATGTAAAATCATGTGTGTCCCTGAGATTTTTCTTTTCCCTCCTGGCATTAGTGGGGAACGTGTGTCTGCCTCCTCTGGGTTTTTATAAAGATGTGACAACTATAGGACGATGATACAAACCGAGTTCTCTATTGCACGCCATGGTGTGGAATGCAACACACAGTCTGAGGGACTCGCTTTTTACACTTACTTGTGTCTATTTAATATACAAGACCTGTATTGACATGGATATTTTATGAAGAGCCTCTGCTAGGTCACAAGGCCTTTGGGAACGTTAGAAATAGGTACTCCCTCCCCCAAGCCATCTGTCAGAAGGGGCTCAGGTCAATAGAGTATGGTGCATGACTGCCACCTGCTGGGCAGTTGTGTTAGAAAAGGAAATTTATCTAACCCAGGAAGAGAGATGCCTGGAGTTGGGCCATGCACAGGGTGAGCACCACAAATGTTTGTCTTCGAAACATGTTTGGGTTTTTTGTGTGTTTTGAGATAGGGTTTCATGAAGTGAAGGTTATTATCAAAATCATTATTATGAGAATGATGTTGAATTTAAG